AAAACCTCTCCAAAAAAAAAAAAAAAAAAAAGAATTTCGTTGGAATTGTTTTCTAACATCTCCAATACAGTAGTTACACACACTGTAAAGGTATTTAACCCACCGCATCTCACACTTATGAATGACCCAAATGATAAATATTATTTATGTTGTACGATAATTACAATTTTTAAAGTCATTGCCAACCCTGGCCCCAGCCCCACAAGCTGCCTAGGGCTTAGCCAAGTGAGAGGAGGGGGTGGGCGTCTGCCACTGAGGGTGCCTCCGCTAGCAGGAGGTGAGGCAGGCCAGCTCTCCCTCTGCAGGCAGTGGGCCCAGGAGAACTGCTGCCCACCCTGGACAGAATGGTCACGTGCAGCCAGACAGTCCAGCAGCCCAGGGTGGCCTGCTATTTCCCCTCAGAACCCAGGCTGGCTCACCGTAGTGGCTCGAAGAGCAGAGAGTTCTTGCGTGAGCTCTTCCAGGGCCTCCGTGTTTCGGCCACAGAGTACCAGCTTGGCACCGGCCGCATAGAAGACTTTCGCACATTCTACGGGAAGAGAAAAGAAGCTTGGCAGCTGAGGAAATCCCACACGCGTCTTCCCAATGCCGCCCAGGCATTCACCCTGTGTGGCAGAGTGTCTGTTTCTTCACACTGGATGCATGCTTTGTCCCCTGCTAGGAGCCGGGAGCGGGGGCCCACCGTGGAGCTCGCAGCCTGAGGCTCACGGACCAGGCAGAGAGGACGGTGGGGGACAGGCAGAGCCGCTAGTACAGTGCTCAGCAGGTCCCATCTGCTCCTGTTTCGCCCTGAACAACCGGTATGCGTCATCCCATGTTCACGGCCGAGGAAGCCAGCAGGGTTAGGCTCAGCAAGTTAACCAGGCAGGGAGCCTACGACTGGCTAGGACAGGCAGGGCCGGCTCCCGGTCTGTCTGTGTCCTCAGTCACTAGCCAGCAGTTGACTACCGGGGTACAAATATGGTTCTGTAGAAAAACAAGGCATAGGACATAAGGAAGCGTGGCGTGCCCCCCAGGAGCCCTGAAGCCTGAGGGGCAGCTTCCCACGGCGGTGGAGGGAGGGAGCAGGGTGTGCAAGGCTGGGGCAGAGTGGAGGGACCAGCCCCTGCCGGGCTGGGCGGGGCTCAGGTGGCATAATGACACAAGGAGTCGAATGAGTTCAGGCATGCTGAGTCCTTCAGCAGCAAAGGCCCCATATTTTAAAAGGTTCATTCCTCCAAACCAGCAGGTGGCGTGGTGGTTAAGGCCAACTGCACAGTTCTAGGCCTGCAACTAAAGGAACACTCTAGGCACATCTCTGTACACCCAAAATCCCGAAAGAAAAATGGAAAAGGGACTGTGGTGTGGCCATCCCCCTAGGGGGGTGATTTCTCACTTTCTGTCTCTGGCAAGCACATGTGCCCTATAGCAAAAATCTCTCTTCAAAAAAACAAGGCTGGCTCCTGTGGGTGGCAGAGATCCCACTACAATATTCCAGAGGAGACAACTGAGAGGACTTCAGCTAGGACCTTGGCAGGACACATCAATCACTCAATCTTTTTTTGGTGGCAAGAAACAGAAACTCATGCTGGAGCCAAAAAAGAAGTTTTTAGAGGGATCCCAAATGATGGGAAATGCTGAATGCCACAGCCACAGAGGGGCAGGAGTGCTGGCTGCAAGGGTCCCTGGCAGCAGAAGCCAGGCTGCCTTCTGCACGAGGTGGCCACCATGGACTCAACTCTCCTGCCATCCGGGAGAGGGCTCTGCCTTTGTCTGCTAGCTCTGGGGAAAGCTGTGGCTGGCCCTTGGGGCAGTATGGCCAGCACCAGCCCAGCAGGAGTCAGGGGAATTCCTGGCAAGGTAGGAGCAGACAGCACCAGCGGCAGGGAGGAAAACCTTCTGACTTGGGGTGAGGTGGGGGAAACAGCAGGAACGTCTTTTCCTTCCCGTTCTCAAACCTGTCTGTCCTACCTAAATGTTGAGTGCCCTGACAACACTCGGCTTCTGAAAAGAACACAGCCCTGCAATTGGGAGAACGGACCCAGCTAGACTTCCTGCATGACTTGGACCTCGTCCACCCCCAGTCTGATTCTGTGACCTCGGTTCAGTAAACCATAACCCCTTCGTTTCTCACTTTCCTCTTCTTTAAGATGCAGGTTTTAAAGTGCCTAATCTGGGGACTACTGTGGAGTGGACGAGTTCAAGGAGAGGAGACCACCATGGTGCTTGGTAGACAGTGTACTGGTCCGTGGTCCTAAACCCTGAGCCACGGTGGAGACTAGAGCGTGGGGGTCTAAAGAGGCACTGCCTGCCCCGCCTAGCCTCAGCACATCTGCCTGAGCCCTCGCCCTGGCTGACCGTGGTGCCACTGGCCCACACCCAGTCTTACAGGCTCAGGCAGTGAAGGGGCACCTTCGGCCCCCAGGTTCATAGAAGAAACAGGCAGCCCAGCCTCTGGGAGCCATGAAGCGGGTGGAGGGAGCAGGGCCGTCACTTCCTCGCCAGGAGGGAAGAAGGTGGGAGGGCCCAGGCAATGAGTAGTGTGCACAGCCCTTCCCTCGCAGAAAGGTCAAGCTCCCTTAAAGACCAAAGGACAGGGGTGGCAGGTGGTGGTGTGGTTAAGGCACTAGACTCCTGCATGGCTGACCATCGTTGGAGTTCTCTCTCTCTGGTGAGCACACATGCCCTACAGCAAATTTTAAAAGAAAGAAAAAAAAAAGACTGACCAGCTCGGCACAGGAGAGGGGAAATCCGAGTCCTCTAGCACTCGGTGGGAACCTCCCAGTGCAGAGCTCTCCCTGCACTCTGGCTCTTCCTTCAGCTCTCCTCAGGCCTATACTTGCCACCTCCAGGCCACAGAGCTTTCTGGAAGGAGGCTCTAAGTAGGCTACCTCGAAGGGGTGCCGGTGTGTGCACTGCCTTCTCTGAAGCAGGTGGGTGTCTGCCCCAGCTCATCCTGTGGGAACAGGGCTGCACCCCGCCTGGGCCGACCGGAGGGCTGTGCAGGCCTTCTCAGGAGAGCAGCAGAGGCCGGGGCAGGGGCCAGGGGCCAGGGCTGCCCTCCAGAACAGATGGGGCACTCCTGGGCTAGATCACCCCAAGGCTGAGGAACCTTGGGCCCTGTGGGCTCCCCCACCCCAGTTTTGTCCTGTCTGACACAAGGACATTTTATGAAGTGCCACTACAGGACACAGACATGAACAAGTGTGGGAGGCATGTGGGTGTTGAACAGCTTCTGGAAAAGGCTTGCCTAAACCCTGCTTAAGGTCTGCTTCCTAGCAAAGCCCAAAGGGAGGAAATTAAAGTTTATGTAGAGAATGACAGAAATGAAGACAACAGATTGGAAGGATTGCATTTTCATTTCCTGAAATGGCTGTTACAGGGAGGCAGGAAGGTCAAGAGAAAAAGGGAAACAGCTCCAAGGTACCACGTAGCCAGGGCTGCGGATACTCTGCTCTCTGGTGCTGCAGGCACGCCCGGGTGGTAAATCGAGACAGCTGTACGGACTATGGGGTTCAGGCTGGCTGAGGCAGCATCCAGAACATTCTGTTCCTTTATTCAATGGCCCTACTGTTCTACAGGGACAAGCTCACGTAGCTTAGATGCACAAAATAAGGGCTAAGATAGAGGACTCATCACAGAAGCCCACGCCTCCACGGTGGCTGACCAGGCAGGAAGGCCAGTGAGGACAGCAGGGCGGCCTCCCAGGAGTGACAGTGGCGTATCTGCGGTGGAATCAACAAAGGGTGTTTGTACTTGAGACGGCCAGCTAAGAATGTGCTCCTGGGCTGGCCCTCTGCAGCTGTCCAATGCTGGGCGGAGCTCAGATCCCACATGGCTGACCTGCCTTCAAGGTGGCCCCAGCGGCTCACATGCAGCGCTGCCCATACCCAGGCTTCTGATGGGATAGATTCGGAGAAAAAGGACTGTGGCAGGGCCAGGCCCCACTGGGGGCATTTTCTCTTTCTTCTTTCTTGTGTGTGTGCACACACCCTCTGGCATAATTTAAAAAAATACATTTAAGAAGAACATGAGGGCCTGCAAGTGGCACGGTGGTTGAGGTGCTGGACTCCCACATGGCTGACCACGGTTTGAGTTCCAGACCTGGTAGCTTGATTTCTTACCTTCGCTCTCTCTCCCTCTCGGTCTCTCTCTGGTCAAATATAAATAATAATAACAATAATAAATAAAATAAAATAATTATTTTTATTAAAAATTCTCTAAAAATAAAAATTGGGGTTAGCAGATAGCATAGCAGTCAGATTGCTGAACTCCCATATGGCCAAACGTGGTTCAAGTCCTAGGCATGGTGACTTGAAACTCAGGCCAGCCATGTGTGCATGTGTGCCCAAGATCCCAGAAGAATGGTGGAGAAGGGACTGTGGTGTGGCTATCCCCCTTGGAGGGTGATTTCTCAACTTCCCTCTCACTGTCTCTGTCTCTAAGGCAAGATCCTCTCAAAAAAAAAAAAATAATAATAATAAATAAATGAAAAGAACCTGTTCTGGGGCCAGCAGGTGGCGCTGGACTCCCACGTGGTCGACTGTGGTTTGTGTCCCAGATCGGGTGGCCTGAAACACATCGGGTGCATGTGTGAGTGCCCTAAATCCTGAGAAGAATGAAGGAGAAGAAATGTGGCCATCTCCCTAGGGGTGATTTTTCACTTTCTGTCTCTCCAGCTCCCTGGAAAACGCACTGTACTCTCTAATCAAAATCTGTCTCTAAAAATAAGAATCTGTTCCTATGCCGTCAGATGGAGGTACTCCTGTCCCTGAGATGTTAAACAGGGTGACGGGAGTCCAGAAAAGGCTTGACATCACATCCACCAAGCACAGGTTTGGTTTTCCCATCACACTTTCTATTCCCTTCACAGCCTTGGTGTCAGGAGAGCAAATGCAAACGACAGTGTCCTTCTCGATTAACATCGACATTTTTGGGCACCTGCAACTCCCTATTCCACCTCGGCCAGCTCTCAAATACTCTCCAAGGACTTGTGAAAAGTGTTCTCTCTGAGGTCAAGAGAAGCAGCAGCTGATTACCCTATATATAGTAGGTGAGTAAGGTCAGAGGAGTGACCGATGGCGACAGGCCTGGAGACAGCTGTCCCTTCAAAGGTCTGGATATCCAGTGACAAATGAGGCACTGACCCCTGGAGACCTCACCTAACACCACAGTGGCATTCAGAGTCCGTGCTCCTCGCGGCCTTCCCAGGCTCCTTGGGCCTACTGCAGCCCACTTACCCTCAGGTAAGGCCCAACCTGCACGTCCACGTTCCTCCCACCTCTGGGCCACCTCAGAACGCCCTCCCTCCTGGCCCACAACTTGCTTTGATCTGGCCATCACCTGGCCAGGCAGGAGAAGCTTTATGACTGAGTTTTGGAGTTGGAGAGACAAAAGTTTGAGTCCCAGCTTTGCACTTTCTAGCTGGAAGTCCCAGGGCAAGTCACAGCTTCTTGGAACTTTAGCTGTGAGAATTTAGCGATAACGCACATAAAAATGTGGCCCGAGCCAGCACAGATAACGTGCCTCTCCCCAAGCCCGGCTGGGAGCATCCATCACCTGAACGGCACTCCATGCACTGAGCTAAGTCCCCGTCCTTTTCCAGCAGCCCGTGAGCTCCCGCGGAGGGCCGCTGCCTTTCACCTGGCTGTCGGCACTGGGCGCAGAGCCTCACTTGGCAGATGCTCACTCAGCTCACCGAACAAGACGTGGCAGCAGTGCGTCAGCCACAGCTCAGGGAGCTCCTCAGCCCTCTCCTGTGGAGCCGCCCACGAGTGTGGAGGGGTGCTGTGGTGTGCGCATGCCTGGACGCTGAGGACAGAGGACCGCAGGCTCCATGCAACGTGCCTGCATTTGCCCCTCGTCCAGGCAGCCAAGGCCAATGCCCATGTGGAGGGGAAGACCGAGCCCTGCGACTCATCCATGTGGGTCTGGGAGTGAGCAGGGGGTGTCCCAGCACACAGTTCCTGGGACTTCGAAGCTCAAGGTGTCTGTTGAACTAGAATGGGACTAACTGGAGAGCCTGGTTAAACCACAGCTGAGGCATCGCTTAGCCTGTCTCCAGCCCTGCAGACCTTTACCAACCGAGAGTACAGGTGGAGCCCCGCCTCAGGAGGGAAAGGTGCACAGTGGGCAGGTACCATGGCCGTGGGCCAGGGGGTGCCAGCCAAATCCAGGAAGATGGTTTGGCCCTCACAGGTAAAATCACGTCTTAAAGTGGTCCTGATTCAGAAACTGGGAGATTTCACGTAACAATCCCTTCACCAAGTAGTGGGAACTGCGTAAGGCTGCCCTGCAGTGGGCCTACAGGCTCCAGGGGCCAGTCATCTCCACCAGCTTTCCCGTCCCCACCCGGTGGATGGACTCCTGCTTTTCCCAGCTGTGCCCAGGACAGTCACACCCACTTACCTGCATTTCCTGCTGTTGTCACTCCAGGTCCCTGTGCAGTTGGGCTCCCCACGCCCCGTCCCCACTGCCCACCCCAATGCCCAGCAGCACCGCCCAGGACCCACCTTTCCCCAGGCCCGAGGTGGCGCCTGTGATCACCACCACAGCGTTGCGCAGGTAGGCCTTCATGCGCATCCACTGCAGCAGCCGGAAGAGGCCGAAGACGCCCAGACAGCCGAGCAGCAGGGGCAGGATGGCCGCAGAGGTGATGACGTCCATGACCCTCGCCTTCAGCGGGCTCCTCCTGGAAGAACCAGAGCCAAGCAGACTAGGGACCAGGTAGGAGGCCGGAGTGCTGCCCAGGTGCATCCCTTGGTCTGACACAACCAGATCCCTTCTCAGACTTCAGCACGAGCCCCAGCCAACACCGTGCCCGGCCCTGCGCTCCCTGTTCCCGGCGGCACTATGGGGCTTGTTTTCCCATTCTGTGCTAAGAGCAAAGCCACAGGCCTCGAAAGGCCGCTCAGGGAGTAAGCTCAGGCTGTCATTCAGCTGAGGACCCGGTCACCAGTGAGCGTCCCAGGAGGGACATCCGTACTCCCCTGGCTCCTCTGGAAACTGCCTAGGGGGAGCTGGTCATGCCCGTTACCATTTGCAACCTCCATCTGTGTGACGAGAACATTTTTTAAGGGCAGGGAGAAGGAAATCATAGCAGGTTTTATAGTCATCTGGGCAGACACTTGGGAGATGGCTATTTCCAGGAGGGGCCCTAGATGGCGTCCGTGATGGCAAAGACGTACTTCTGGAGCTCAGCGTGGATCGACGCCACCCAGGGTCGAGCGTGAGCACAGACCAAGCTGATGTGCGTGCTGCCCGCCGCGCCCAGGGGTGTGCACGTTGGCGTTTTCCTGAGAGCCAGCCGGCCACGCAGACCCGGGGGGCCACAGGCCATGTGTGCAGCGGTGTGCAGTTCTCAGAAAACAGATCCCGTCTCTCCACACTGCCCCTAATTTCCTGCGCCATCCTTCTCGTGCACCCACGCCCCGAGCCCAGAGCCACGGCTCCAAGACAGTTACAGGAAGGCCGAGGATGAGCTAGTGGGGAACGAAATGCTGAGGCCACTCGGCCAGTGGGACAGCCTGTTAGACTAAAGGCCCCACTGCCCACTTCCAGGACTGTGGTGTCAGGAGCAGCCACCCTTTCCCAGAGCAAGCCGAGCTCTGGGGGCAAGTCTGAAGGCTATGCTGGTCAGCAGTCTGCGAGTAAGCAAAAGCCTCACCACCTACCCATTGTCCCATCTCCTCGACCCCTGCATTTAAAACAGTTCTGCTTCTTTTCCCAAGGTGACATCAACCCTGTGGATGCTGTAAGCCAGGAACACTGCAGGCCCCGACACACACCCCTGCCGTGCACTGAGCTGCTGAGATCCCCAAGTTCACGTTCAGGGTGGCTGTCCCGATCTAGGCCAAAATTGCCCCCACTGTAAGGGGCTTCTGCTCCAACTGGAACTGTCAACTCAACTGGTTTAGTGTTTACTTTATCACCTGTCTATCCAAATGTACCCAAATTCTTCACCACCATAAAAAAATAACCCTCCTGGACTGTAAATGGCCGCCTCTCATCAGCTCCCACTCAGCCCTCTCTCCCCACACTGTGCCAAGCCCACACCGGATGAAGTGGGAATGCCAGTGGCACCGGAGTGCCCAGCTCTTTAACCAGGACGACAGGTCCTGCTCTTTCCCCCGCCAGAAGCTCAGGCCAGGCCCCGCTGAGTCTCAAGGAGAAGCTGGGAGCCAAGGCCCCTCTGCCTGGCACCTGGAAAGTGCACAATAAAGGTTTCGAGCAGGCGCCATCCCGTGGCTCTGCGGATGCTGATGCTGCATGAGGACTTTCGCAGGCCCAGGCCCCGGAAAACAGGGGGGTTCTCAGGGGCAGGGTGGGTAATAGCTAAGGAGAAGGAATGGCTGCCAGTCTGTCGGGACAGCTTT